TTCGGTGGTTAGTGTGTTCTCTCAATGTTAGTGTCGTGCTGAATACGCAATGGCAACTCACATTTGTCGGCTGGGAAGCAGTTGCAGTCCGGTACTTCGGTCCTCACATTGTTCTTCAGTTTGTCCAAGTGATCTTGCAGTTTCGTGGTGGCCGGCACGGCACGCGGGCTCTGAGGTCCCTCGTTCTTCTCCGGCTTCCCTGGCGAGTCAGCGAGAATCTCGTCCCGCGTCTGCAGACCCTGGCAACAGCCCTCGCGCAAGTGCTCGGGTGTCGGTTGCTCGGTGCCGCCCCTGCGACAGCACCAGGAACCGACGCCCGGCGACACTTTCGCCGGACCGCCGTCTCCGCGGAACTTGTAGTCGCTGGCGTCCTGCGATCTCTGATCTGGCTCTGTCTTGATCTCTCTAGCTTGATAACCGTCGCTCTTTGATGAAACTGTTGGCGACGGGGCACACTCTGAACCCGAACAACCGTAGTCCCCTAAGTTCTCTTGCTTGATGGTCTGCAAGGAGTCACAGTTCGCGTCTGTCGTTGACGCAGCCTTTTCCGCGGTATTCTCCACATACGTGGGATGATGATCCTCTTCGCTACCCAACGACGCCTTGGTGACTTCCTGGTAGCCGAGACCCGTCGCCGTCGTCCCCTCGATTTTCTCGCTTTCTAACTTCTTCGGTCGCTCCGCGAAACTACCCTCATCGGTCTGCTCCCCTCGCGACAACTCTCTCTGAAAGTACTTGTCGTCGGTCTGATTGTCGTCGTTCTTTTCCGTACTACTCCTCCACAGCTCCTCTCGTCCCGTGTCTCCATCGCGTGTCACAGGTTTCTCGCAGGTTTTCGTGGCGAGGCCGGTCTTCTCCTCGCCGTACTTGATCAAACTCTCGATGGATGCGATCCCACTGCCGGTCTCCTGCATCGCGTTACCGTTGCTCAAAGCGTTACCGCCCCCTGACCACTCCCATAAGCCACCACCGTCGGGCAAACTATCGACCCGAGGGTGGTGGCTATGCAATAAAAAATTACCGGTCAGAGATTCGTTCGACTGTGACATCGAGATGATGCCCGTCTGGCTTAAATATTGGTCCGTCTGTTTCTCTTGGAGCTTCTCTGCGTTTTCGTCCCTCACGCGATCTTCTGCGGTATGGTAGTCACCATTCGCACCAGCGTTGCTGTTCACGTGCTGCGACTGCATCTGATGGTGGATACTATGATGCTGTTGCTCCTGAGGGGTCATGTGATGCTGTTGAGTTTGTTGCTGCATCTGTTGTTGATGCTGCAGCTGTTGTTGTTGCTGTTGCTGCTGCTGTTGTTGTTGCTGCTGCTGCTGCTGCTGTTGTTGTTGTTGTTGTTGTTGTTGTTGTTGCT